CAATCACTATCTGTCAATTTTTCTTTTGTTTTGTTTTTTTGAGACAGGGTTTCTCTGTGTAGTTTTTGGTGCTTGTTCTGGAACTCACTCTGTAAACCAGGTTGGCCTCGAACTCACAGAGATCCGCCTGGCTCTGCCTCCTGAGTGCTGGGATTAAAGACCTGTGCCACCACTCCCCGCCCCCACCTCTGTCAATTTTTAAAAAGACAATCACTGCCCAATGAATGTGATCTCAACTCTGCAAGGACCCTACCCACCAGTGTGACATCCCTAAACACAAGGAGAGGTGGCTGGAATGCTGTTACACAGGTACTTCATCTCACCCTCGGGCTAGCCCATAACTCCTCAGAAACAGATGGAGCTCACACCCAAAGAGACCCTGACACAAAAAGTCAGTAAAGTTAGCCAGGTGTGGTGGCACAGGCCTTCAATCCTAGCACTTGGGAGGTGGAGGCAGGCAGATCTCTGTGAGTTCCAGGACAGTCAGGGCTACACAGAGAAACCCTGTTGGAGCGCACCAAGGCTGCACGTCTCATAGGCAAAGGACACCTTCAAGTCCCCAGCTTTCTCTCGCCACCTAAGGCCAAGAGCTTCTGCAGTACCAACTTGTACCAACGAAGGGCAACAGCAGTTTTACAAGACTCTTCTCAAGTTAATGTTCAATCATTCCCATCTGGCAAAACCAGATCGAGTTTCCAGGCCTTTCTCATCCTTACCCCAAGTGGAAACATCATATTTAACAAGAATCTCATTGATATTTCTAAAAATACCAATTTTCCTTAAGTATTGGTTGAGCAGAAGCAACCAACAGTAACATGCACACATTGTACCAACTAATCTTAATTTCTTCTCTTTAGAGTTTTCCTTATTTGAACTGTGAATTCACACTTACACACTGCCTTCATCTGCCTCTTAAATGACCACCATTGAGGTTAGCAGGAAGCTGTGTTCCAGAAGCACAGCATACCTACTCCCGTCAGTTCAAATAGAGACCTCAGTAGCTTGAAAACATTCTTTTACCCCAGCACTTCCTGAGCTGGCGTACTGGATAGCCACACACCTCACAGCCACTGAACTCCTATGTTGCTGTTACAGTATAGTGAATAAGACAAACAAAACAAAATACTAATTCTTCTTTTTTTCCTTTTGAGACAGGGTCTCAAGGAGCCCAGGCTGGTCTTGAACTTGCTATATAGCTAAAGATGACCTTGAACTTCTGACCTTCCCTCCCTCCACCTCCCAAGGGCTGGGATTACAGGTATGTGCCACAATACCTGGGTAAAAATTAAGTAATTAAGTAAAAGGAAGAGCCTTTTAAATGTGCTCGTGAGATACAAGACATCCCGAGTTATATAGTAACTTAAAAATGGCAGAAACAGAACACTTTCTTCAAGAAGAGGGGGGCCGGGCGGTGGTGGCGCACGCCTTTAATCCCAGCACTCGGGAGGCAGAGCCAGGCGGATCTCTGTGAGTTCGAGGCCAGCCTGGGCTACCAAGTGAGTTCCAGGACAGGCGCAAAGCTACACAGAGAAACCCTGTCTCGAAAAACCAAAAAAAAAAAAAAAAAAAAAAAAAAAGAAGAGGGGGAAAAAAGATTCCTAGGTAGCTAGCTATCAATGGGCTCAGAGCAAACACTATGTGTCCCAGGGGGAAATGGCCACCGACTGGGCTACCAGAGACTTTCTGTGCAATGGCACACTCCTGCAGCTGGTGGGTATGGTTCTTCCTAGTCCTCACCTCACCTTTCCAGTTGTACCAGCACATGGTACCATGCTGGCTCTCTGGAGACTCTCCCGTTTTATCACTTTAGACCAGCAGTTCTCAACCTGTAGGTCGTGACCCCTTTGACAGACTTCTATCTCCAAAAAATATTTACATTATGATTCATAACAGTAGCAAAATTACAGTTATGAAGTAGCAAGAAATATAATTTTAGGGTTGGAGGTCATCACAACACGAGGAACTGTATTAAAGGGTTACAGCATTAGGAAGGTTGAGAACCACTGCTTTAGACTTTGAAGTACATTTGTATTAAGCACTTAACACAAGACTCTCAGGTCTTTATAAAACTCCGGTGTCACCTACACCAGCCACTTAAATCCATCTCAATGCCCTCCTGATACAAGTTTTAATTGATATATTGAATGTAAATGAGCCATGATGAGTGTGAGCCCATAACCATTTCTCCTATCAGTCCTTGGAGTGTTTCACCTTCTCCTCATGGAAATCCAGCCCTGCTGTGTGGTGAACGCCACAGCACAGATGGCATGAGTACACTGCACTCTAACTGGAAGGACCTTGCTTGAGGCCCACAGCCCTCCTGGGAAATGAGACTGTTGGTAGTGGTGCTCTCTATTTGGTCGGCACAGCCGAGAAAACCAACTGCAAACACAGGGAGAAGGAAACACGTTTTCTGCTCTGGGTCTTACAAAAGGCACAGCTGTAGATCATCAACACTAGTAACCAGACATGTGGGGATTGGCAAACCTGCTCTGTGAGGACCAACCAGTACTTGGGGTTAAGTGGTCCAGCCTAGCAGTTTCCATGCTGATCACTGCCAAAGCAGCCAGAGGCAATTCACCTGTACAGAGTATGGATGTTGGGCCAGTCTTTGTCCTAGATCAGTGCTAAGACGACCACAAAACAATTCAACAGAGAAGGAATCGGGCACTGCACGTTGCTTGGCAGCTTAACAGGAGCAAATACCTCTATGTGGAAGCTCAAGAATCAAAACAGAACCGACTCTGACAATCTCTTCATGCTGGTCCTTTCATTGAAAAACCCAGTGATAATTACAAAACAGATTTCCTCTTCAAATAGTCTGAAGAACTATAAAACCTGACAAAAGCCAAGAGCCCCGTGCCTACCTTCTTCTCCAGGGAGTTGCTCCACTCCTTCAGCAGATTCACATGCTGCACCGCGGAGCTGGCCTCGTGGGCCTTGATCTGCTGGTTTGTACCCTGCAAGAGCCAAGGGGGTGACACTAAACCAGTCACTCCACTCAAAGGACAGAAAGCCTCATACTCAACTCTAGGAGCAGCAGTAGACATGAAGGGGCTTATTTATGTACAGGGAATTCCAGACTCTCACTCAGGGCCTCCCAGGCTATGGTGCAGGGCACATGCCAAGAGCACTGCGATGCTGCAGAGCTAACCTCAAGTTCTCTCTAGTGGCTTCTCATCAATGTTCCATACTTGCAAAACCAAATAATTAAATTTGAAACTCATTCTATTCCTTTACAAATCATTTTCATTAAAATATACCAAGAGAATATTCTGGAACCTATAGCTGCAGTCAGATGCTGCTACAGCAGTCCAGTGAACTATGGTACAGCATTGTACCCAAAAAGACATCGCCTCACCAGGCTGAGTATGCTGAGGAATTTACATACAGAACATAAACAATCTACAGAGTACATAAGATGCAGACCATTCAAGCCAAGAGCAAGTACATTAAATAGTACTTTGCATATTCAAGGAAACAACCAATTTGAGAATATCATTTGTTTTGATCCCAGAAAATGAAGAAATCAGAAAAAGCGTTTTCATGATCTCCAAAACATATACTCTGTACATAGACTCTCTCTCTGTATGCTGATCTGAGCACAGCTCCGCATCAGCATACATACGCACACACACAGATGGATGGCACTACGCACGACACAACGCGGAGGTGCAGGCGCCTCCTAGACTAAAGCAAGGGAGAACTTCATTCTTAGTCTCAGCTTTCCATCTTAGGAAAAAGTACTGCAGCCGAGCGGCAGTGGTGCACGCCTTTAATCCCAGCACTCGGGAGGCAGAGCCAGGCAGATCTCTGTGAGTTCGAGGCCAGCCTGGTCTACAGAGTGAGATCCAGGACAGGCACCAAAACCACACGGAGAAACCCTGTCTCTAAAAACCAAAAAAAGAAGAAAGTACTGCAATGTTGCTCACTGTCTCTGTACCGACTCCATAACAGTGCACTGCCGATACATAAAACTAAATAGACATTTTCTTTGTAACATATTTTGCCTTTTGGTAGATAAACTCAGTCTTAACTTGCAATCCTAAGTATGTTTAAAAACAGATTTCTGACATGAACACTGTTTCCCAGGAAGTAGGTTTTCTACAGGCTTTGCTCAGTCAACCCAACTCTGGCAGGGTAAAAGTCAGCATATATGTGTAAACAAAGCATTACAGACACCCATGTGTGATTCTTACAGCTAAGGGCTGACAGACGATGTCAAAGCTACATCAAGTTTAATATTCACTCAGGTAATGAACAGTTAAAATCGCCACAGAAACTCCACCAGATGCCACTGCATTCTTACTACCTGGAGCTGTCTGGGAGGTAGCAGTTCTCCTGGCATACTGACTTCCCCATGCTGTTCCATCTGAGCCTCAAATGTCCTGGCCCGGCAAGTGAACACCCACCCCCGCTGCATGCATGGTTTGTTTCACCCATGCAGCAGGGTGATTTGGTTTCACGACAAAGACTCAAAGAGTGAGAACTCAAATGTTAAAATATTATTATGAGAACTTTCTTCAATGGCAGAATGTCAGTGACTGGGAAGGACAAATGTTGGATACTGACCTGAAAAACGCAGCCATAGCGCTTAAAACTACAGGTGCTGGGGGCATTGACACACTCTGACAAGTGTGCACTCAACTGCAACGGGAAAAAGACGTGAGTTGTGACACAAACGTTTGCATGAAAATGTTCAAACATATCAGGGCACAGAGAGCATCCAGGCCATACTGTTAAGAAGGGCGTTTATCAGCTGCAGGTGTGTACACATCATCTGCGTGCTGGACTTCAGGCAGTAAAATACAGTTTCATCACAAGTATACACGTATACACACCAATATACATAAATACATTTACTGTAACAGTTCTTAAACTTCCAATTTCTTTAGAACAAATTGTTCAAACTGTGACATGCCGTCTGAAGTGCCAGAATTGGAAAAAAAAAAAAAGAAAAAGAACTGAAATGCACATTTAAAGACTATTAACAAAAACTGTATGAAACACAAAAAATCAGAAAGCATTTGGGATGCAACTGGGTCACACACCTACTATACAGTACACAAAAATAAACCCATTTTCAAAGCAAGCTCACACACTGAACCATTACTAGTAATACCTGAGATGGCTGAAGGCGAGTTACGCCTTCATCTGAAAAGTCTTTTTTCCCTGGCATGTTCAGAGCCTCATAAGCTTTTCAAAGATCCCTACAGCTATTCTAACAACAGGAATCTCATACTCTGTCCTCTAGCTGATAGATGAAAATTAGGAGTGCCTGGAAAAAATCCAAGCTACCCTGAGAGAAGACAGCCTCTTGTTTAACTCCAGGATGCCCCAAGCAAGAGACAAGGGAAGTGAAAAGATGATCCTAAAGACAGACTTATATCTGGGCTTGTGTTGCTGCGGACTGCAACACAACTCCTGCATGCCTGCTGCCTTATTCTCACAGCTCTTAGTCTGCACTGTGTGCGCAGACATGGGTAGGTGCAGGTTTGTGTAGTTTTGGAATTTTCCTCAGTCTACCAGGACCAAGGTGGTGGCTATTCGCTATGCCTGGTATTTAGGAACGAGGGACTAACAGGGATCCATTCTTCCTCTGCTCACTGAACCTGTTACAATAGCTCAGCAGAAAGGCAACCTGGAAAAGGGCCTTGAGGCCCCCACCACAACCAACCATAAGAAAGGGTCTGTTAGTTAGGCAGTCATAATGATCAGCAGCCTAGTGTGCTTGCAGTTTCCCTGAACCCAGCCAGGACACCCTGGGCTGGACTCAGAGGAAGTACCCAGAAGGCCCCACAGGCAGGTCAACGTGAACCAGTTTAAAACTTTAAGGTGTGACATTCTTTCAGGGCCATTGTTACAATTACAATCATGACCAGCTAACACTTCTAATGCTACAACCAGGGCATGCTGTTCTGACATGTTATTTCTACTATAAACTCACTGTCCTACCTTTTCCTAACTTGGTTTTATTATGAGTACACTCAGGGCCCTGAAGAATTTACAGGAGCTTCGGAACAGAAGCAAGACTAATGCACAGCCCAACAGCTCCTTTCACTGAAACCAAGAGAAACGCAGTTGAAAATTTTATTTTGAAATAAAAGTAACTTAGAGGCTGCCTTTCATCTTAATTCCGAGCTCTGAGTGGACAGAACTGAAGTGAGGGTTATAAACTCTGGGGATCATTTTAGCAGTTACCCTCTCCATACACTGACTTTAACAGAAGGATCTTCCAGTGGCCCAGCATGGAGAGTGGACTTGTACTTCCCCCAGGTCCTCCCAGAGGCCTTTCAGCAACCTTACCCACCACTGTCCTGGAAGGCTGTACCTAGGTGAGCGGCTCTCAGGGTCTTCCCATCTCTCTGGGAAGGCCCACGTTAGCTAGTGTTTCTAGGCTGCCTTCCTCCAACTGCCAGGAAGATGCCAGGCTGCTGGAGAAGACTCAGGAGACTCCAAAGACTAGAGACTCCAAGACTAAGCAACCACGGGGGCTCCAGGTCAGGTCACATGTAAAAGTGTTAGGATCCCTGCAACTTTCCACATGGATCTATCCATATGGGCAGGTTAAATGAAATCAATGATAAAATCTACCCGTCTTACAGAAGCACCTGGGCAGATGCCCCTCCACTCAGTATCTACTTCCCCTCTAGCACTGCCCTGCCCATGAGGTGGGCAAATGGTTTTAAAAGTCTAAAATTACTTTTTTGAGACAATCTTACAGAAATTCATTATTTTGTAGAATTTAAAAATAAAGACTTTGAAGCACCACCTTTACTTACATTTGTAAATTAGTCACATTTTTTTCAATTCTTAATATTTTCAATCCCGAATTTACCTTTTTGTAGCGTTTTGTAGCTTCTGATTTCCAAAACATCCCTGTTGGTTTTGTCTTTGTTGTTGCACACATTACCATAGTTGACCATGAATGAAGACTATACAGATGCCCACAACTCGGGAGAGTGGGCCTACAGGACATGGGACCACTGTCACAGGGCTCCTGCCTGGGCCCTGGCTGTGCCTTACCTCACTTCTCAGAAGAGTCTGGACGCTGCACTTATGAGGGCAGGACACCACCACACAGGGACAATCAGTGTCTTCGTGTTTCTACAAAGAAAAAGGAAGTGTGAGTCAGGTGTGGACCAGCACAGTCCATCCTTCTCAGTGCCCACCAGCTCTCCAATGCAGACACAAAGGAAACTGTATCCACCATTACCCCACCACACTCATCAGAGTATGACTGTCTAGGACCTTGTGACATCAGGTCAGATCTGACTCAGAGGGAACTTGTGGAATACATTGCTGGTGGTATCCTAACGCCAGCTGCCTCCACAGCAGATTCCAGGTCAAGGGCCCTATGGACAATGTGGGGTTGGTCAAATGCCCATGCTCAGATTTTTCTCTGGCCTTTCAGTTTGAAGTCTGAACAATCCTGAAAGTGGCATGGTCTCCTGGATACTGTCCTAAAATCTTGCCTACATTATCTTTAGTACACAAGAATGGATAAATTTTGGTCTAGGCCCTGTTGAAATTGTATGATCTTTAGCTGTGTAGAAGAGTGACTGCTAATCTCAATGCCAGGGGCACATGTTCATAAAAAAGCAAGGGCAAGGACTTCTTGAGGACATCAAACCTAAGGGCCCAAGAAAGTACCACTAGACCCACAATGACGGCACAGGCAGAGACAGAAGTGCCAGTACAGCAACTCCTGCTGAGTAAGGATGCTCAGTTGCTCTTCTGAGGTCCTGGGACACTTCAGGTCTCAGTAGGTCCTCTGGTTCCTTTGGCCTTCACTGACAATTATCTTTAGGTGGATTTGGACCATGGCACTTGTTTCAGCACTGGTTCAGTCTAACTAGGCAGGTACAGGGCCAAAACAGTGTCCATACAAGGGAAGTACACGGTTTGTTTGTTTGTTTGTTTGTGTTTTTCAAGACAGGGTTTCTCTGTGTAACAGCTTTGGCTGTCCTGGAACTCTCTGTAGACCAGGCTGGCCTTGAACTCAGAGATCCACCTGCTTCTGCCTCGCAAGTGCTGGGATTAAAGGCATGTGCTACCACTACCTGGCTAGAAGTACACATTTAACAGAGGGTACCGTCCTGAGGAGGGTACCAGGCTCGATTTTGTTGGAATTTTGAAGGTCTATGCCTTCTGAGTATGAACACTGCATCTGCAGAGCAGGGAAATGCCTACAAGATTAGCTGCTCTGCTCCTGACCTGGGTCTCAGAGTCCCTAGAGTACATGGTAAGCAAGTCAATTACCATTCCATAGTGACCAGCGAGAACCTGGTCATAGGCCTCCCTCAGGAGACAGCCTGCTCAGGGACCCAGCACACATGCTGGATTTGCACTGAGCTGGAGTTTTCAAGACCCACAAAGGCAAGGCATCCTTGGATAGAAACCCCAGTAACTAGTCTTGCTTCTCTGATACTGACCATATCTGTGAACCAAGTTTGACTACACAACCTCCCAAGAGCGGAGACCACACATCCCCATCATAGAGCAGAGTGGGGTCTCTGAAACATTGTGAAGGAACCACAGGTGCTCTCTCTGCTCCCTGTACTACACACTCCCATCTTCATTCTCTGGGCTGGACGCTTGCCTCGTGCCTCATCGACATAAGCACAGCGGAGGGGGGAGACCAAGATAGCACTGGGGGAGGTAAGGGAAAGCAGGGCTGGGGGAGGAGGGGAGAAAGAGTGGGCAGGCTGACTGGGACATCAATGAGGCAGAACAGCCAGTATCTTTGCATGTACTTTTGCACACCTATGAAAGAATATCAGGAAGGTTTTATATTTTTGGTTGTGAGCCTAGCCTTTAATGGCTGAGCCATCTCTCCAGCCCAGGAGGGTTTTAAAAGCATCAAAGGATGCACGTTTTAAGTTAGATTTTGATGAACTGTTATCAAATTGCCCTCCAATAACCTGACCCCAATCTGGAATCTCATTATCATGAGAAAGCATATTCCCAAACTTTACCAATTCTATCACACTTTTTAATCTATGACAGTCTAATGGAAGGGATACAATGCGGGGGGAGGAGGGGATGTCCTGCAGCTCAGGCATTGTGAATTGTTGTATTTCCTCTTATTAATCATGGATTTTTTTTCATTGAATTGCCTGTTCAAGACTTCTAGCCATAATAGTGACTGAATAGTGGGTCCTCCTACAATACTGCCTATGTTCATTCAGAACCTGTGAATGGGACCTTATTGGATCTGGTTCTTCACAGCTGTCATTAATTAGGACAGACCCTCAGTCTCATGACTACATCCTTAGAGAGGCAAGGATTCAGGAGCAACCATCTAAACACAGAGACAGAGCAGGAGCTATACAACTTCTAGTCAAGGGTGGATGACAACCAGAAGTGTCTCGGGGAAGGTAGAAAGTACTCAGAGCTGCTGCTGGGAACACGGCCCTGTCAACACCTTGGTTTCTGATTTCTTTTTACATTTATTTTACTGAATGAGTGTGTGAGTGTTTTGCGTGCATGTATGGCTATGCATCACATGTGTGCAGGTACCCATGGAGGTCAGAAGATGGCATTACAGATGACCTTAAGCCACCACCTGATGCCTAGTGATACCGTGTTGTAACAGCCGAGGGAAGGATACAACACTGAAAACACGAAACTTGGGCCAGGCATGTGCATGGTGTACACCTTTAACCCCAGCATTTGGGAAAGGCATCCACATGGTGCACACCTTTAACCCCAGCATTTGGGAAAGGCATGCACATGGTGCACACCTTTAACCCCAGCATTTGGGTCAGGCATGCATATGGTACACACCTTTAACCCCAGCATTTGGGTCAGGCATGCACATGGCACACACCTTTAACTCCAGCATTTGGGTCAGGCATGCACATGGTGCACACCTTTAACCCCAGCATTTGGGTCAGGCATGCATATGGTACACACCTTTAACCCCAGCATTTGGGAAAGGCATGTGCATGGTGCACACCTTTAACCCCAGCATTTGGGAAAGGCATGCGCATGGTGCACACCTTTAACCCCAGCATTTGGGTCAGGCATGCGCATGGTGCACACCCTTAACCCCAGCATTTGGGAAAGGCATCCACATGGTGCACACCTTTAACCCCAGCATTTGGGAAAGGCAGGCAGATCTCTGTGAGTTTGAGCTTAGCCTGAACTCATAGCAAGTTCCAGGTCAGCTGGGGCTATACAATGAGACTGTCACAAACAAAACAGAAACTTGATGCATGCTGTAGTGGTTTGTAAGAAGACTGGTTACCTAGCAAACAGTGTGGCTTTGAATCCTTGCCTCTGCCTCTTGACTGCAAATTTGACCACACATGTGGGAAATACAAAGCCTAGCTATATAATGAACATTCATGAAGCACTACCTAGGTGGAGAACATAATCAACACTTTCCACCTACTTCATCCTTACTTATTTCAAGTAATCACTAAAACAATGCTGAATTCTGTATTTCTGCCTTTTACTTAAAAGCTTCATCACATATTTATGTGTCCCTAACAAAAGAGTTTCATTTGGGTTGTATTCAGATTTTATTAAAATACAGTTTGCTATAAGAACCGTATGTAGTCTGGTCCTGCACCAGACACTGGTGGTAATGCACTGCCAGCTATACAGTGTACACTACAGGTCCTAACCCAGCCTACTATATGTCACATTTCACTGTGGAGAGATTAAGGGTGCTAGAGCTAAAAAAAATCACAAGATTTGGGCATGCAATCCTGGCACTAACTAGAAGGAGAGGAAGACCAGAGCAAGTCACAGAACCTTCCTAGTAATACAAAGAAGTGAGTCCACACTTGCTCTGCTAGTGTCAGGAACTGTGCAGTGTCACAGAGGGAATGCACAGGCAATGCTAGTTAAAACCACTGCTGGAGCAGAAGACACACAGCTTATAGGTAGAGTGCATGCCTAGACCAGCATGCTCAATGCTCTGGCTTCAGTTCTCACTATGATGTACGAGTCTGAAAACTAGAGGGGAAAGCAATCTGGGCAGGTAGTTGTGGCACACACCCTTAATCCTAGTACTTAGGAGGTGATGGCAAGAGGATCAGGAATTCAAGGGGTTCAAGGTCATCCTTGGGAATCTAGTAAATTGAAGATCAGCCAGGGCTTTTACAAAAGAAACCTATTTCAAAACAGAAATGGAAACGAAAGGCCACTGGGGTGCCACATGCTGGTGACTTTAACTACTTAGGAGGCCAAGGCAGGAGGATGTCAAATTTTAAGCCCAGCCTGGATGAATGGTGATTTCAAAGACAGTCAGATCGTGTCTTAAAATAAAAACAAAATTAAAGAGCAGTCTCTGAGGATGGCCGAGTTCAATCCTGAGTAACAAACAAAATGAACGCAGCAGAGGAACACGCCAGTGACACTGTTGAAGGAACTTGCAGCCAGTTTCCACCACGAAGGCCTCCGGAGATTTACAAGCAATAGCCATTTCTTTGCGAAAATTCAGATCTCAAACTGCCTTCCAGGTCCAATTAAAACTCAAATGAAATAAATACGCACTGCTTCTTCACTGACCTTCCCTGGCCCTTCCTCATTGGTGTTTTGTACACATTATGGTCACAGTACTTTCCATACTACAGGAATTTAACTGTATACCTGGTTCTCCTTTCACAGACTGCTGACTAAGGACAGAAACTTCAAGTCAGCCCCTCTGCCATCAACACGTGGTTAACCATGACCCTCCTGACTCTTACAGCCTCCTCACCTGCTGTTCAGAGGTGGCTGCTTATGCGGTATCTAACTGATGTTTTCAGTTCCTTCTCAAATGAATACTACTTGATTTTACTCTGTAAATAACTGATCTCTGCAAGACGCAAAGTGTAACTTTGGTAGCAGTGTATCAACATGTGTACAGCCTGGACGGCTACTCATCAGGTGAGTGTCTCACTCACTGCAAGTTCGTTACTGGATAAACTGCTCAATTAGAACACATTCTACTGTTGCTTCCCAAGTGGGGAGACACAGTCCTGGAAAGCTCTTAGTAACTGGGAACGTTTACCGTAGTCTATAAGAAAAAGATGTCCAGATAAAATGAGGCCCAGACTCAGGCCTGGCTGGTGACGGAGTGAGTGCTGAGACAGCAGAGCAGAACACATCTCATTTCACAGGGTAGGAGACTCATGGTGGCCACGACATGTACCCTGGCTATACCCAAACAGTCCCCCTTCTGATGACCCCAGCATCACCACCAAGAGTAGTCTCTACTTGCTTGGCCTCTCAGCAATACCCGGCCAGGGCCCCCAGCTCTCCTGACACTTCCTAAGTCCCCTCTCAACAACCTGCAAGCAGTCCATGTGCTGGAATGGCATGGCATACAGGTAGGTATACAACCGATGCTTACTCGGTGAATGACTGTTTTTAAAGTTGTTCTTCTACCCTCAATGTCTCTTTCACCTTTCACACAGAAATGATTCCACTGCATACACAGAACAGACCATGCCAAAACAATGAGGCAGGAAAATATTTAAATGCTCATCTCTCCCCAAGACAGACAGCTTCCTTTGACACTGCAGGATAAATGAGCCTGTTGTAAGTGATGGTTGTGTCATACAGCTGTGAGAAGATGAGCACTCCATCAAAATTTGAGGCTATTCTTTGGGACAAGTTACAAATTCTACCTTTTTTGAATCATCATTCTTCATTTTTTTTGACATCTCAAATGAGTCAATCAAGGCAATGGAAAGTGTTAATTATATAAATCAAAATAGGCAAAACAAATACAGCTTTACTCTGAAATAAAGTTAGATGAAAATTGCTATTTAATCCTCTTTCTCTTTATCCTTGTTAGAATCGTCATCTCTGCAGAGGAAGTGCACCTGAGCTGAGCAGAAGGGACATGAACAGGCAACATCGCACCTGCAGTGTGATCATGGGGACTTGGCTCTTGCAGTGATTGCATGTGGCCTCTCGGTATTTACAGGCCTTTTCCACATGATCCCGCAAGTCTTTTCTCAGTACTTTTTCTTTGCAGTCGGCACGAAGACAGGGAAGCTCCTCAAACTGGCATTCATTTTTTAGGTGCACCTGTAGAACAAACCAAAGTTTTTAACTGGCAAAAAGTAAATGTGAAGTGGCAGACTGTAACTGCCATAGTGAGGTCCTGCAGAATCCTATGACCCTGCTGTAGGGACAGTTCTATGCAACAGAGTGGCAAAGCACAGCAAGAGACAGAGGCTCACTGTGTGCACCTTGTGTTTCCTCAACACACATGTGAGTGAGGGACCATGCACCCTTCTCTCTGTTACCAGAACTGAGCGTTAGGGGTGTCTCTGTTAAGAACTGTTTAGCCAGATGTGGTGATATAGACCTGACCTGTCATCCTAGCAGAATGAGCTGAGACTGGGGGGGTGGGGGTGGTCTAGAGTTCAAAGCCAGCCTGAACTATATAGCAATACCAGTGTCAAAACCTACACACAGACACACACAGACTATAGAGTAATACCTGTGTCAACTTCACCTCCCACAAAAACACCACTACCACAGACACACACATACAACACACCAACCCTTTAAAGTCTTTTTTCTAATTCAATTATCCACTCTGAATAAAATACAAAAATTAGCCGGGCGGTGGTGGCGCACGCCTTTAATCCCAGCACTCGGGAGGCAGAGCCAGGCGGATCTCTGTGAGTTCGAGGCCAGCCTGGGCTACAAAGCGAGTCGCCAGGAAAGGCGCAAAGCTACACAGAGAAACCCTGTCTCGAAAAACCAAAAAAAAAAAAAAAAAAAAAAAAAAAAAAAAAATACAAAAATTAAAAATAAAAAAGCAACCTTAATTTATGTGTAATTTCATGGTAGAAGTAATAAAGTGCCTTTGAAAATCAAAACCCAACTCCAATTTCTTTATTCTAAGTAAGACAGAGGATGACAATTCACTGATGTCATGAAAAGCGACACTTTATGTCCGAGGGATTGGACACTCTCTTGCATGGCTCTGTTTGAAAAGAATATAGTAAACAGAGCACTATGGTGTACACAATGCTCTGTCGACCTGGCTAGGCAGTTAGATGAGGTGATGCAGCTCTCTGCTGAACAGAGATGGCTCTGGCTCTGGGACCACTTGGGTACTCACCAGCAGATGTCCCAGAGTCAGTTGCTCTACACAACCTCTGCCTTCATTCCGACAGTAGATCTGAAGGGCCAGGATCTCTCTCTTGCAGCAATTATCCTTAAACACCTGAATTGAAAGGTAGTTAGAGGATTAATACTTCTTAATCTTCACATGTTGCCATTGGACAAGGCAAAACCACTCTAAAAATGCTAAGAGCAACTCTTAAGTGGGCCTCAGAAAGCATTAAGGACTGTCTTAATTTCTCTAAGTACAATGAAGGAGCTGGCCCCACTAAGACACCATTTAACTCATATAACTTTAAGCATTATCTTTTATTAGGTAAATCAGAAGACACATTGAGTAACGGTATTTTAGAGCATTATGGTCCGTGAATACGGACACAGACTCAGGACAGGGTTGGTTCACCCTCCCAGCCAATAAGCCGCAGATGGCCCTGGAGGCACACCGCCTGCCAAAGGACTTGGCAGCATGCTGGCAACTCAACAGTGTATCAAAGGCTTGTCAGAGTCAAACCAACAGTTATGGAGATAAGGGTTTTGGACAACATGTGAAACAATTCTGGTTCCTTCTTAGTGTCTGCTGCTTATAACTCAGTTTCTTACCAAAGGATGCTTTTTCTTTTACTTTCTCTTTTCCCCAGAGAGGATGGACTCCCAGGTCCTTAAGCATGCTTGGGAAACACTCCACCACAGAGCCCCATCTTAGCCCAAAGGAAGCTTTAAATATGTGTCACAAGCATGAGCTAGTACTGAACTATTTCTCCTGAAAACAAATACCTGCTTGCCTTTAACTTTCCCATAGAAAACAAGCATTCTGCCTCTAACCACAGTCTATAGCCTCAGTCCTCAGGCATTTCTGAGACACTCCCACCTATCAACTCTGTGACAGGAAGACAGGGCACTTAATATGCCCCTTCCAAACTTCCAGGCAGAGACAGATCTGTAGCTGGTAAAATTAAGGACAGAGATGCCTCAGCCACCTCTGTGCTTGCTGTACAAGCACGAAGATCTGAGTTCGGATGCTGACACCTACATAAAAATCAAGCGTGGTGGTGTGCACCTTTACCCCAGTGCTGGGGAGGTGGAGACAGGATTTGGAGCTTATTGGCCAATTAGTCTATCCAATCAGCAAGCTCCGGGATCAGTGACAGATCCTGTTTCAAAAACTAAGATGGAAGCTGGGCATGGTGGTGCACACCTTTAATCACAGCACTTGGGAGGCAGAGGTAAGAGAATTTCTGTGAGTTTGAAGCCAGCCTGGTCTACACAGTGAGCTCCAGGACCATAAGGACTATGTAGAGAGCCTGTCTCAAGAAGAAAAGGTAAAGGTAAAGGTAAAATAGGTAAAGGAAAAAAAGGTAAAGGTAAAGGAAAGGAAATAGGAACCATGATTGTGAATGAAACAGATACTTAAAAAGCCACCTTAGCTTGTGGCTTTTAAGTTCTTCCTCTCAGTCATACTTTTTGTTTTGTTTTGTTTTGTTTTGTTTTTCGAGACAGGGTTTCTCTGTGTAGCTTTGCGCCTTTCCTGGAACTCACTTGGTAGACCAGGCTGGCCTCGAACTCACAGAGATCCGCCTGGCTCTGCCTCCCGAGTGCTGGGATTAAAGGCGTGCGCCACCACTGCCCGGCTATCAGTCATACTTTTTAATACATGTGAACAAGGTAGCCCACTGCCATGTAAAGAAAAGAAATGGGGTAAGAGCCAGGCTTGGTGGTGCACGCCTTTAATCCCAGCACTTAGGAGGCAGAGGCAGGTGGATCTGAGTTCAAGGCCAGTCTGGTCTACAGAGTGAGTTCTAGGACAGCCTGGGCTACATCTACACAGAGAAACCCTGTCTCAAAAAAAAAAGAAGGGAAAGAAAGAAAGAAAGAAAGAAAGAGAGAGAGAGAGAGAGAGAGAGAGAGAGAGAGAGAGAGAGAGAGAAAGAAAGAAAGAAAGAAAGAAAGAAAGAAAGAAAGAAAGAAAAGAAAGAAAAAGCAAAGGAAAGGAGTGGGGTAAGTGATCTGCTTTTCTTGTAACAAGAAAAGTCTTCAGCAGCACAGATATGCTAATGTGCTAGAACAAGTTCCATCAGAGGCCCTTCTCTCTAGAGCCCAAGGGCCCTGTGGCCAGCTGCCTCACCTGGCCTGCCCTGACCAGCAAGTCCAGCATTTGCAAATGCTTTTTGACAGGAAACCCCACAGCAAGACTCTTACTGTGGGATTTAATAGCCTACATTAAAAATTGTTAGGTTCATTAATCAGAATATTGGAATCATACATATTTTTATTGACATTTAAGTCCTTAAGAGTGAGCTATTTCAAGCTACAAGTGTGCCTGGAAGGGCTTAGCAGTATGTGGGTGGCCATGTGCCAGAGGAAAGGAGAGGGACTGGGTTCAGGAAGAAGATGGAGGAGAGCCTCGGTGGTACCCACTCACTAGGTGCACACTGACACCCACATGGGTAGATAGCAGGCTGATCTCATTCACTGTCTCAGCCCTTCAAGATACTAGTGAAGGGGAGGGAGGACACATTCCAAGCCCACCCCGCACTGGCACGCTGAGGGAAGCTGTAGGAGAGACAGCAATGATTGGACCACAGACAGTCACAGCCGTGACAGACCCCTCTGCACTTCTCAAGTCCCCACTCTGTATACACCCTCCCTTGCGGTAAACAGGTGCTACTGACACTGTTATGGGGGAAGCTCAGGGGACAGAGTGCCTTGCAGGAATTAGAGCGGAAGTGTCTGAATCTCCCCCGACCCTAGTCTGCCCAGGCGCTCACATGACACATCAGGCCCTGGAGTCTGCTGCACTACTGTCAAAACTACGAGCTGAGTATTGTGGCACACACCTGCAATCCCAGGAGGCTGAGGCAGGAGGACTGCCATGAGTTTCAGGCCAGGATGGGCTACATAGGAAGACCCAACCCCAAAAAACAAAACAGAAGGAAGGAAGAAGGAGGGAGGGAGGAAGGGAGGTGGGGGGAGAGGGAGGGTAGGGAGGCAGGGAGGAAGGAAAAAAAAACAATCTCAAGGGACTTGCCATGTGTGGAAGCAGAAGCAGGTAGAGGTCTCTGAGTTCAAGGCCAGGCAAGGCTACACAGTGAAACCCTGTCTCAAAAAAACACAAAAAACAAACAAAAAAAAAAAAACACCCAAGGTATGGAGATCTAACTCAGTTGGTGGTGTGCTTGCCTAGAATACTTGAAACCCTGGGATATATCCTCAAGTGCTCTATAAACTAGGTGTGGGAATGCATACCTGTAATTCCAGAATTTGGGAGATGGAGAGAGGACCTTAGCTACTAAGTTTAGTTCAAGACTAGCTTGAGCTAGACTGCCATCCTCACCTCCCCACAAAAATATTAACTTTTTTTTTTTAAAAGACAGTCTCTCTTTATTATGTAGTTCTAGCTGTCCTGGAATTGCCTATGTAGATGAGGCTGGCCTTACACTCCCAGAGATCCACCTGCCTCTGCCTCCTAAACGCTGGGATTAAAGGTGTGCACCACCGTGACCATCTTAATCTTAAAAGGTGAAATAGCGCTGAGCGGTGGTGGGGCACGCCTTTAATCCCAGCACTCGGGAGGCAGAGCCAAGTGGATCTCTGTGAGTTCAAGGCCAGCCTGGGCTACCAAGTGAGTTCCAAGAAAAGGCGCAAAGCTACACAGAGAAACCCTGTCTCGAAAAACCAAAAAAAAAAACAAAAAAACCAAAAAGGTAAAATAGCTGGGCAGTGGTGGGACACGCCTTTAATTCCAGCACTCGGGAGGTAGAGGCAGGCAGATCTCTGTGAGTTCGAGGCCCAAAAAACCAAAACAAAAAAGTGAAATAAAACTAAATTTCAGTAAACTGTACAAAAGTTATGTAAAAAGGTGGCTCAGAGGTAAATAATTTTCTGCGTAAACCTGGCAACCTGAATTTGATCCCTAGGACCCAATTAAAGACAGGAGAGAATCCCATAAAGTTGTTCTCTGACCTCTACATGAACACTTAACTATGGCATACATGCAACTCCCCCCAATAATAATAAATAAATAATAAATAAAATAAAAATTTAAGCTGAATTCCAGAGCACCAAATGCAAGCTATGTGAAATGTATCAACCACCCAAGAAGCATGGTGGCACACCCCTGCACTCAGAGGCTGGGGCAAGAAGATCATAGGTTTGGGGCCACCCTGGACTGTAGAGCAAGCCTCTGTTTGAAGAAAGGAAACAGGTAAGAGTACCTTGTCTTTGATGATGCTTTCTTGGCACGCTGTACATTTTGGACTCGAGGAGCTGAAGGAAACAAAGTAAGCATGTTAGAGCAGCAGCCCTCCTCCTTCCCTCAGGCTCACTGGGAACACAGAATGCTCTCCTTCATGGGCAGGCCTGCTCTAGCTTGCGGCAACAGGCAGGCCTCCAGGTGCCATGGAAAATCTAACTTAAATGCAGTCCACAGGAGAACAAGAGCCAAACTTTAAAAAATGGTAATTTTTCAAAAGGAAGCTATTTTGTTCAATAACCCAGTCCCATTGGAAAGACTTAAAGAACACTCTGGTTTTCCGAGAGGGCCTTCTGGGAAGAGCACCCACAAGTACTGAGGGCCTTTGATGTTCTAGTCTTGGGCTACAGACAAGTTCTCTATGTGTAAAAACGCCAGTGGCACCTGCACAGGGGAACTGCCCCGTCCCCAGGATAACCCAAGTTCAACTAGGGTCCTTTCACCCTCAGCAGGCAAAGCCAAGTGGGCTGTGTGGACCCAGTGAATGGACGCGATGATGAGAGTGTGGGGTACACAGGAGACTGGCCACTGGGCCTGGCCTTGGTCTCAGGCACCCAGGTGTGAGTGGCCAGCTGGGAAGAGGGTGGCCCTCTCAAGCTAATGTGCCGAGGGGCACTGAAGGTCCGATGATGCAGTATGTTCTGTAGTGACGAATGCCAAGCACAATGCCTGGTAAATACGCAATAGGATATCGTTCTTCCTGGCCAATCCAACCTCTGTCCTCTAACTGCAGCCTGCCCCTGTGATTTTACCACAGCAACCCATAAGGCTCATGAGCATCTAGGGTCTTGGTACAAGCTCTATGTGTACCCCGGGCAAACATGCACACTTACACCTGTTTTGTCCTACATGTGACCCTGACCTTCCTCTACCGTAGCCCAGTGGCACGCTTCTAATTTTTTTAAAAAAAGATTTCATTTATTATGTACACAGTGTTCTGCCTGCATGTATGCCTGAGCACCAGATCTCATTACAGAAGGCTGTGAGCCACCATGTGGGTGCTGGGAATTGAACTCAGGACCTCTGGAAGAGCAGCCAGTGCTCTTAACCTCTGAGCTGTCTCTCCAGCCCCCGCACCCTTCTACTTTAAAGACTTAGGACCATTTGATATCACTATCATAAACATGAACTTCTTGAGCAGAATACAGGAACACAGATGGGGGACAGAGGCTTTGTGGACAGAGTGCTGACACCGTTGAGGAGACTTCAGGGGAGAGGCCTGGGGGAGTAGGATGTGAGGCAGGCAGGGCAAAGTACAGAGGCCTCAGAAAACTCAGGCATGAGATCTGCCTAAGTTTCCCTGAAGGCCTCTAAAGCTGGACCTAAAAGCATTCATGGTTTTGAGAGAAACAGGTGAAGATGGGTACAGCTGCCCTGGCCAGGCAGCCTGAAGATGTAGGCAGCACCCACCTGAGCAGGGCAGCCATGCAGCTCTCACAAAACCGGTGCCCACACTCAGTCTGCTTGGGGTTGCACAGCACCAGGCGGCACTTCTCACACTTGTACTTGTCTTCCACTGTCTTCACAAACTTCTCCTTGTAGCCGCCTTGCTCGGGCACAAGCACTGAGCCTGCACTCCGATCAGGCTGCAGCTTGAGTGGTGGGTTGGGCTGCAGTGCGCCAGCAGCGTCCATCTTTTTGCTTGACTCCATCTTAGGAAAAAGAAATTCTGCCAGGAGAAAAGTAATGATAAGTGTACATCATCTCCTCATCTCTTGAAAAGGCCTAACAAACATGCCCAAGAAAAGTAAAAGTGCCCGAGGTTCACACTTCCGTATTTAAATAGTGACCAGAATCCTTCCCAGCCTTAGTCTGCCATGGTACAAGACATGACCATGTAACTTCCTTCTTTATGTTATCCAGATAGCATTGTTAACACTGCTATTCAAATACTTGCTGAGAAATAGACTTAGTAAACTGTATTTTCAAGATTCTTTAAAATACGTATCATATTTTTCTGTGCCAAATCTTCATTCCAACGATTTGGCTGGAGCCTGAGCCATTGTTATTGTTAAGATCTGTTTTGCTTTTCATTGTGTGTGTGTGTGTGTGTGTGTGTGTGTGTGTGTGTGTGTGTGTGTGTGTGTGAGAGAGAGAGAGAGAGAGAGAGAGAGAGAGAGAGAGATCTACACATGAAGACACACATATCAGCGCAGGCACCCTTGGAAGCAAAAGGCCTCAGATCCCATGGAGCTGGAGTTAGAAGTAGTTGTAAGCTATCAGACTTGGTTCCTCTGCAAGAACAGTAGATACTCTTAACCGCTGAGCCACCCACCCCTCCAGCCCTAGCAACAGCCATTCTTGACCAACTTTATTTTCTGGTTAACTCCCTGACCATAACTCCCACCATACTGTGATAAAACCAAAGTGGGCCTGTGGCTAGTACGCTACCTCTTGTTCCAGCAGTAGTACTTACTGTAAATGAGGTGTTTCCAGACCACAAGAGCCATGTGTGAGTGTGCCTGCAGGATGTAGGGCCCTTGTTTCTGCCCTCTACCCTCAAGTTTACCAAGCCTGGGTTGGCCTGAGTAAGACCCCACATCACAGAGCCATGGTATTGTCACATGAAGTCTGTGAAGAGCAGAGAGTGGAAAGATCCAGGCAGGTATAAAGGTGCTCAGGTCAGGCCTGGCAGAGGGACATGGGACTGGACAGGTCACCTGAGCTCCTGCACAGGTTCATTTCTGACACCTGGCTACCAGTTTCTCTGCCTTCCACCTGCAAGTCCCATGATGGACAGTGAGAGCACTCCCTAAATCAGCCACACAGATCCCAGAATAGGCAGCTCTGTCAGCTGAGCCTTGAGGTCAAGTAAGCAAAACTAAGCAAGAACACAAAGCAGTTGACTAGGTTCCTGAAGAGACACTGGCTGTCATGGAAATTAGAGCCAGCATCAAGAACACACACCAACACCGACTGTCACCTTCAGCAGTCCAGTACAGACGAAACGAGTCCAGATGGTAGTAAAAAGGCTGGTTTCTCTTTCCTTCCTTTGTGGATATTCCACAATCAGTGTGAAGTTTTATAACAAGAAACTTTGAATGATGGACAGTTGCATCTATTAATACATTGTGAAGTTCCTCAGAGAAGTTTTTTTGGAGTTTGTCACACTCCTCTCTGAGACCTTTCTGGGTGGCTCTAGCACACAGATATACTTTGTCTCAGCTCTGCTTGCAAAGCCCCATGAACCCTGTCCCGTGTACCTCAGCAGGGAAGCAGGTCAGAGACTGCAGAAAGAAGCCTGGGCTGGCCTCCAAAATACAAAGTTTATTTTCCTGTCCCACTCCCAGTCCTTTCCCACACCATGCCATGTATCTGCTAAGTAAACAGGTTCTTTCAAAAGTTACCAGTTCCCTTAAAAAATGCGTTGTGTTCTTGCCCAATTTATTTTTGCTACTTAAAAAACTACAGGTTTGGAGCCGGGCGGTGGTGGCGCACGCCTTTAATCCCAGCACTCGGGAGGCAGAGGCAGACGGATCTTTGTGAGTTCAAGGCCAGCCTGGTCTACAGAGTGAGATCCAGGAAAGGCGCAAAGCTACACAGAGAAACCCTGTCTCGAAAAACCAAAACCAAACCCAAACCAAACCAAAACAAAAAACTACAGGTTTGAATGGGCATGTATATAATTCAGTTGGTGGAGAGTTGGACTGGATTTGATCCCAAGTATCCAATAAAATGTGTCATGCACCTGTAATCCTAGCATTAAGGAGGCAAAGACTGGATGATCAGTAGTTCAGAGTCACCCTCTGCTCCACAGTGAGTTTGAGGCTAGTTTGGGATCCATGAGAACCATCTCAAAAACAAAAAACAAAAAAACAAAATTCTCTAAACCCATGGGACAGATCCTGTCAACTCAACAATATCTGGAGCATCTACCCCCAGGACTCTCCTTACTTCTAATGTTAGTGTGAGACTCAGAGCTATGAACTAGGACTGGGTACCCCCACATATCAGAGGCACAGAGCAGATACAAGTGCTCAGGAGAAGGCTGGGGCAGAGCCAAGTCCTCCTCTTCCCCTAAGCCCTGCTCACATACTGTTTTCTGCTGCTCTTTCTGACGTGCAAGGAACAAATGTTTCATGGCTAGGGATGCACAGAAATGGCTGTCGGCAGCCACACCTGGGTAAGCTTTAATAAAAAAGAATGTTGCCTTGTATGAAACCTACAGATGTGTAAAAGTAAGTTTTCAAGATGACTTTAAGGGGTCAGTGACTCTGCTTACAGTCTGACATTGAGAAGCTTGCTTACTAGAATGACAGCTTACCTTTCTAAGCTATGTGAGAAGGTGCCTGGACTGAAGATCTGCAGGGAGCTCACTGGCTGCCCATCACCAACAATTCTGTGCCTCTGGGGATGCTCCAGTATCTCTGCATAGCCCAACCTCACTGTGTCCCCTTCCTCTAAAGGAGCTCCAAGCACTTCCCACTGAAGAGCAGTAGACTTGGATGAGGTCTGGGATTTGGATCTCTTCAGCTGACTTATAAGCCCCAGGTTCTGAGAGCAGCGCCTGAAAGGTAGTGAGTGCTTAGTATGCACTTGCTGAGTTACTAGACAGGCAAAGTCTGAGACACTCGTCTCAAATGATTTCTGTGCAAGCTAATTCCAGGAGCAGAGAACTTTAAAATACTGATCTAATTCTGTGCAATGTAAAAACCAAGGATTTCTTTCAGCTACTCACAGCTTCAGTGTGGTGCTCTGCTCTAAGTACTTGGGAGATCGGGGGAAGCTGTGTTCAGTAGGATCTCATGACGAAAAATGAGGGTAACTGAATTCCTATTTCTAAGTGTCTTAGTTGGGGTTTCTATTGCTGTGAAGAGACACCATGACTACAGCAACTCTTATAGAAGAAAGCATTTAATTGGGGCTGGCTTACAGTTCAGAAGTTTAGTACATTATCAGCATGGTAGGAAGCTTAGCGGCACACAGGTAGACATTGTGCTGGAGAGGTAGCTGAGCGTTCTACATTTGAATCCAAAGGCAGCAGCAGGGCTTGGGCATTTGAAACCCCAAAGCTCACCCCCAGTGACATACTTCCTCCACCAAGGCCACACCTCCTACTGTCACTCCCTAAGCATTCAAATATTTTTGTTTATAAGGGCCATTTTTATTTAAAGCACCACACTGAGGGACCAAGATAATGATGAATAATCTTTCTTCTTCTTCTGTGGAATGCTATGCTCCACAGAAACAAGTAAAGACTACAACTGCAGGTCTTTGTGTTTGTACAATGCCAAAGAAAAGCAAACAAATTAAAAAAAAATGCTATCCCAAGCTTATCAACTAGAGCCTTGCAACACTCTGCTGCAAAAGGTACAGAATACCTGGAGGCAGGTCTGTTGGGACTCACCTCACCGCCTGCTCCTAAACACACACCCCCAGGGCCACCATAGGCCTCTGAAAACCTGTCTATACCCATTACACAGATATTCTTGAGCTCAGTGGTTGTGAAGGAAGCAGCTTCAGAAAAGAGAAACCACAGGATGGGTACAGCAGGTCTGTGTGCTGCACACTTACCAGCCATGACAGCCTGAGAAAACCACCTGAGGAGCCCAGACACAGTGGGGACCAGTGCTGCAGGAGCCAGGAAAGAAGGATGTGGCAGAGGCACTGCCAGGGTGTGTGGGGCTTCTTGGTGGGAAGGTAAGAATATTCTGGAATTAGAGTGCTGTTAGCTATACTACCCTAACAGTAGACTAAAGCCACTGGGCTTATACTTTAATGGGAGTGAATTTTGCATTTAAACATAAAATCTTGATGTAAACTAATATAAAATAATTTACTCAAAATAATACAATTTAAATTTGATTAGTCTGTGATACATAATAGATAGAGCAGGTCACATTGACCTTAATGCTGAAGCTGTACGGTGCTGCAAGCTATGAACTGTGCTTGCCATGAAGGATACGACTCTCATTTTTATTGTAATAATTAAGACATGAACAATCCAGATTCCCTGATGCAACTACCCAGCAGACAATTTCTTCCCATGCTTAGAGTAAAGAATGCAGCAACCCAGCCAATGCACAAGCAGGCAAACAGCCACTCCTCCCTCCACAAGCTGGGCCAAACATCTGAATTAAGCTAAGTTTCCATTTGCTTCCAATAATTTATCCTAAAGAATTCTCTGATCAGCATGTGAAAGCCTGAATTATTACTATTTGTTATTCTAGGATACTTTTTATTGAGGTATCTTTCACTCATGCTGTCATCTTCTGAGTTTTATTATACAGCTTAATACTGACAGTTATTTTTTTTTAATCTGTAAATAGTGTGAACAAGTTTCTCCATAGGGACACAGAGAAAGATGATATGCCACAGGAATTTTTCTTTTTCTCTTCTTTTCTCTCCCTTCCTTCCTTCCTTTATTTTTTGAGACAGGATTTCTCTTGTGTAGCCCTGGCTGTCCTGGAACTTTCTCTGTGGACAAGGCTAGCCTTGAACTCACAGAGTTTCACCTGCCTCTGCTTCCTAAGTGCTGGGATTGAACGCATGGTGGTGCACTACTGCCTGGCACATGGTTTCTTTAAATTACATTAATTTATAGGGGGGAAGCTGAAGGGATAGTGAGTGTATGCTATGGTATACATATCAGAAGACAATTTGCCAAGAGTCAGTTCTCTCCTTCCATCATGTAAGTCTTAGGAATCAAACTTCAGTCAGTAAGTTTGG